GGAGATCTGGCGAGGAATGAGGCTGGCTGCTTCCTTTATAGTGCTGGCCTCTCCTCGCTGGGTCTGCATTAGGCTGCTTCAGGACTTCCTTTGTCACAGACCCTGCATTGCATGTGTCCCAGTACTGTCCCAATGAAGTTTAATGGCTGCTGAGGCCTCTCGGCCTAAATTTGGACTTGGATGTCTGGATCTGGACTGTCCCTGACTCTTAGACCAGAACTGGGACTCTGTTTATTGGCTTTACTTTCAGACAGGCACAACTTAGACGAACAGACACACTTACTGCCTGAACAGACACTCACACTGTGTGAATAGACACTTCCTTTTGCACGAACAGACAGACTGACTGCACGTACAGACACACCCTTATCTTGAACAGACATGATGTGTGCACCTCCTGGTGAACAAGTATGTCTTGCTGCAATGACCTTTGCTTTAGTTTAGGATGTGCCTTTTGATAGAGAACAGGACCTTTGACCTGCTTCCACGTTTCTGGGTCCTGGCGAGGTACCCCTTCACGATGCTTTACTTTTACAAGGCCCATATCAGGTAAAGGCCCTTTTAGTAGGACGGACAGCCAAATTAAACATGCTATATTGTGGACATCGGCATCGGTGGCGACAACGGACTGGATGTGTCTGGAGCTGATATGGTGGTTGGTAAATTCCCCTGCCCTACCACCCTCCGGCACTTTAAACCCGTTTTAAATGGTTATTAAAAGATTTTTAACGTCCATCGTATCTGCCCTGTTTTTCACTTCTTTGACTCTCATGCCCTCTTCTTACTCGTCTTTTCTTCCCCACTTCGTTCTCTGCATTCTCTTTAAATTAAAAAATATATATATTTTAAAAAATGATAATAATAAAATGTTAAAAAATCCCTTATATTCTGGAGAATCTGATGCTTTGTTTACTTGAAGTCATGCTTGCCGGTGATAAGTAACCACACTAATGCCCCCCAGAATAGAAGGGGCCTCATGTTAAAATAAATAAATAAATAAATAAATAAATAAGTAAATAAAAATGTTCCAGCCGTTTTTGTTCCACGGTTCCACCCATGTCCCCCTGCCCTTGTCCCACCTTTGTCCCCCACTCAAGGCAGCAGATTAATTAATTGTGTTTGATGAGCTTCTGTTGTTTTTGTCTCTTGCTTTTTGGCATTCGCAGGTGACAATCCTTCTTGGGAGAGGTTGGCTAGAGAGTCTTGGGAAACATTACTTTGACCGGTGGTCAGCCCCAGATTTTTATGTGAAGGTATAAGCAAATGGACTTTTCTCACAAGTTTTGCGGCTTTGCCCCTCATTTTGTTTTTTTTGGCAAGACATGCATTTGGAATTTTGGATGCGTTGTGGACCAGGTGCATCTGTTTGAGGCCAACATTTTGATTACATCGGATCCAGACAGCATCCAAATCCTCTCGACTCTGGAAGTTCACGTCAGCCTCATCGTGCAGAAGAGAATACTCGCAATACTCGTCGAATAGCAAAGAGAAAAGTTGGATTGACAACTCAGAAGAAGAAAAAGATTGGACGAAGAACAATATAATAGGATATATCAGCGTCCTGACCAGAACGGGGTTGCTCGTATACGCTTCATTGTGTTCGAGTTCCTCCTGCGGAGCCTCTCGAGGCCGTATGTCCGCGTCCATGTTCTGCTCGTCCTCCAGATGTCCAAACCGGTCACTTTGTCCTTGGCTGAGGGCAATGGGATGCCTCAAATAGTGCTGTTGTGTTGTAATCTCGGTACCGCAGCTTAGACCTTTATAGTCGGTATATACGGGGATAGGGATCCGAATAGGAAGTAGGCATAGGTCCATGGATAGGAATGTTGGTTTCCGTTTGGGGCTTCCTCTGATCGGGGGTCAGGATCTATTCTCGGTGATTTCCCAGGTCAGCGGTTGAGGTGCAGGGATCCAGTCCATGCGGGTTTTTACGGATCATGGGGGAGGGTTTGTGCCTTGTACGTGGCCTTTGATTATACCAAGGAGTCAAGGACACCCCAAGCCTCTCTGTGTGGGTTTGAGGGAGGTTCCAGGAGTAGGTACCACCCGCTTTTTCCTGTGAGTCAGACTTGTGTTCATAAGGGCGGCAGTTCGATGTCTGTCTCGATTCCTTTTCCATTTTCCGTTTACTTTTCATATTTTGAATCTCCTCCTGCCCATTGTTCCTTTTGGTCTTATTCGTATGTCACCCTTCGGTCCCTTCCGGTGGTGTGTGTGTGCCAACATGTGTGTGTGTGTGTGTGTGTGTGTGTGTGTGTGTGCGTGCATCTATGGGTGTCTGTGTGTGGGTGCATGTATGTGTGGGTGTGTGGGAGATGTGTGAACACGGCAGCCGCACAAACGTAGGGGGCAAACCTTACCTCACACGCTGATGGCTCACTTGACGATGGCACACTTCAGCTGCGACGTATATTACAGACGTGGAGCCGAGAAGGGAGGGTGCAGGGAGAGGATATGAAGCTCCACGCCCTTACCTTTTGATCCAAGGATAGGTGGACAGCATGCATTGGGTGGTAGAGGAGAAGGAGCAATTTAAGAGGAGGGAGGACAAGAGCAGACGAAGGAGAGAGAGGGGAGCTTGGATAGCTTCGGCTATCTTTATCCTGGCTGTGTCAGCCAAGGAAAGGGGGGTGCACGCCCTGAAGCACTTTTCGCCGTGTAGCATCCATTAGAGAAGGTTGAGGAGGAGAGTAGTTGAGGGTGTGAGGAGAGAGATTTCATGGGTAGGGGGGAAGCAATGGGTGGCAGTCACGGAGTGCACAGTAAGTGTCGTTGTGTCTGTGCAGCCGCTAGAAGTTGCCTCCGCAGCAGTGTGGCCGAGATATCCAGCGTACTGGATAATATTGCTAGCGGCGATCAGCTGCCCAGCATACGTGATCTGCAGATGGGAGAAGAGGGTGACAGATTGCGGCTATATAGGGAACAGCGCATGTAAAGGTCAGAAATGGTGTACTAGACTGAGGTAGAGTGATGGTAGGAGGTGTGAGCCGAAGCTCAAAAGCCGGAGCATGAGGTTAGTACCTGGAGGAAAGTGGGCAGAAGAAAATAAGACAGCGCAGCCAGCTGTCGACCTCTAAGTGGGTGGCAAGTTCCAGTGCGAGAGCAGAAGCATATATGGAAGTAGACAGGGGCCATTCTGAACCCCAGGGGGAGGGCAACTGAGTTGGTGCAGGGAAGGGGTGGGTAGGCAAAGTGAAGGTACATTTAGGAAGGCAGGTTGTTTGTAATGTCGGCGGGTGGGGGGTAGCGGGGCCTCATGTTGTGGTATTGGGATCGTTGTATGGGGTTGGGTGGCTGATCTGGCATTGTGTATCGGGGATGCTGCAGGGTAGACAGTGTGCTTAGCTGGTTGGTTTGTCTCTGTAACTATAGACAGGCAATGTGGGTTCTTTGTTTAGATAACTGCCATTTCGTCAAAATGGACATCTTTTATTTTTTGAACGAAATTGAAACCGAGTTTTTTACCCGAAAACCCGTCAAAATTTGCTGTTCCCGAGGGTCCGGCGTTTGTAAAACGCTATGGGCTCCTCGTTGTTGTCTCGTGGCGACGGCTTGTGCGTCTGTAGCCGATATCTCAGTGTGTGTCGATGTGTAGGTCGTTCTCCTGGAGCTATGTCTCAGTATGGCGCAGGCCGATGTGTCACTTTGTCCCAGTGGCCGGCAAGTCTGGAGAGCACTCTTCAAAGAAGTTAAGTGCAGACGGGGGCAGAAGCTCAGTCCGCGTCGTAAAACTTGCCCGGGCTGCTACAGCGGCGAGCACATCAAGTGCCGTCATGTTACTTTGTGGTGGTTAGCTCTGCCGGTTTGGTGGCGTTTGGGACAGAGTTTTTCTCGGAGCAGAATCATCAATGTTGGCAGGTGTATGCATTGGTAGAAATGAAGTACGATTCTTTGTCCTTCGGTGACTCAGAGGCGCTAAGGCACTATGTCAGGGACTCGCAGGTAGGGTGCTGGGTGGGGAGCAGAGGTGTGGTTGAGAGTCCATATCGCTAGTTCTGTTCTGTGTTATGATTCATCGTGGCGTGGTGGTCCCAGTTGGGGTTGGTGAATTTGCTAGTGTATAGAGTGCATGTTTGTGGAGCTACATGTACATATGTATATGTAATGTAATGATGTTCAGTTTTCTTAGTTATGTCTGTGTGTGTGTATGTGTGTGTGTATGTGTGTGTGTATGTGTGTGTGTATGTGTGTGTGTGTGTGTGTATGTGTGTGTGTATGTGTGTGTGTGTGTGTGTTACATGCTGCGCCTGCACACGGGCCCCATTTGAGGGGCCCGACGGTTGCTTTGAGGCCCCCAGGCCGCACGCTGCACCGCACGTGCCCTGGAAGCCCACGGCAGCCCTACGGGCCTGAGTAGGTAGTAGTTACTTTTATTTATTTCTACTTACCTTTCTTTTGTGTGTGTGGGCTGTCCCATTTTTGTCTGTTCAGGTACCGTTCTGGACGAACAGCCCCAAGGCCGACCCTTGGGGCCAGGTGCACCTGCAACAGGCCGAAACGGGGCCAGGCGCATTTTGGCGCCAGACCAGTAGGCCCAGGCACCGTTTCGGACTTGCAGGACCCAAGGCGACACCTTGGGCCAGATGCACAGGGCAGGGCCGCTTTCTAGGCCAGGTGCGGGTTCTGCACCTTGCTGCATCAGCAGCACGGTCTGGACACCCGGTAGGGGCCCAGACCCGGTAGGCCGTCTTAGGCCACACAGCGGCAGAGGCCCAGCGGCGCCCAGCGTTATAAATAGCTGGGCAGCGGCTGGGCACGGGGAGTTCGAGTAGCCCACTTCTGAGCCACACGCTGCTGGTTGGAGGCTGCGCTATGCTGCGCTAGGTCGAGGAGTAGGGAGTAGAGCTTAGGCGAGGTAGAGAGTGGCGGAGGCCATACCTGCGAGCGGCGAGCTTACCGGCGCCATAGCTGGACGCCACGCGGTACCTGCACACAGCAACGGACGACGTCAGTGCGGTGACAGCTACCTGCAGGTGAGATAGCGAGGAGGGCTTCCTTCTCTCTCCCTCCTCCATCTCTCTCTCTCTCTCTCTCTCTCTCTCTCTCTCTCTCTCTCTCTCTCTCTCTCTCTCTCTCTCTCTCTCTCCTTCCTCCTTCTTATCTCTTCTTCCTCGAATCCGAGAGTGCGAGAGGTTATCAGTAGGGATTCAGGCAGGGGTTGTAACGGGCGCACTGCCCAGGATCTGATTCGACATTTCTGAGACAGGCATTGTTTGGACATTCGGCAAGAGACTATTTTGGACTTCGTCATTGCGATCTTGGTCTACTCTCTCGCCTCCTCCCTCCTTCGTCTGTCCCTCCCCCATCTCTCATCTGTGGTTTCTCCCCATGTGTGTGTACGAAGGAGGGACCTTCCTTCCATGATTGCGGTCCCTCCTCTCTCGCCCATGTGTGATGTGTGATGGATGTCGGGTCAGTCCACGTCAGATCAGATCCTCTCTTTGAAGTCTTCCGCTGTGCCATTTGCGCCATCTTGTATGTATCGGGATGTACATTGCTTGTTGATGCTGCGCCGATTTGCACTGTCCATTTCAGTCCTTTTCATCACATTGTGGATCCTTGGTATACTGCGCATTGCTCCCCTGAGCATGCGTCAGTTTTGGTATCGGAGCGGCTGTATGTGAATCAGGACGAACCTGATCTGACGCGCGCAGGGGGGACCACCCAAGATTGATTGGGTGAGTATCGATTGATTGATCAATCGATCCTGGATCGATTGGTTGATCCCGGATTGATTGATTGATTGATTAAGTATTGATTGATTGATTGATTGATTGATTGATTGATTAGGTTCTACTAATTAGTCCCCAAAAATCGCGAAACTTGGACCCAACCGCCGAAATCGAATTTTTTTCTCTGTTTTGGATTCGTTTTCCCGCTATTTCTTTCTCTCAACAATAGCGGAGCACCTGAAGATTCGTTTTCATTTCTTGAAACCCGAAACTTCGTTGCTAAAGACCCAAAATACTGCGATTTTCCATTATTTATTCCGCGAATTTTTTTTAAATCTGATATTTCGAATTTTTTTTCTTGCTGAAATTCGAAATTTCGCGGCAGGGAAATCCGGAATTTTGTTGGGAAAGTTTCGATTTTATCCCGTTATGAAAATTCCCGTTATTCCGAAAATTTTCTTTTTTCAAAAATCCTTTTTTTGAACTTGTTTTTTCTCGGAAAATCTTTTCTGAAACTCGTTTTTCACTTCTTGAAATTCGTTTATCACTTTCTGAAACTCGTTTTTCACTTCTTGAAATTCGTTTTTCACTTTCTGAAACTCGTTTTTCACTTCTTGAAATTCGTTTTTCACTTTCTGA